GAATGCCGAAATGTGATGCACAGAATATTAGATACCCTTGTTTGGTTCACAGGTTAGAAAAAATCGGGAAAGTTACATTCCCGGGAATGTAATAAGAAGGAGAATGTTAAACCCATCCATGCCTTAGGTTATCTCACATTCCCGGGGTGATCTAATTTTCTTTTGAAAATACCTTCAATTGATTATCTCTTTTTATTTAATTTCTTTATATATTCAACTGTTATCAAATTGTATTTTTTGTGACTTTATAAAACTTTTAATGTAGTCTATAAATATGTAAATTTTATTTACTAAAAATAATCTTATTATTGACAGGGATCGGTTAGTTTAATGGTATGTCAAACATCGTAAATTGTGTAACAACCTTTTAGGTGGGATAGACGGAGTATTAATTATATTTGAATGTCTATTTTTGTTATTTGCATAATTTTTTCCCTTAACATTTAATTTTTTTAAGGTATTTATGTTATAAGAGTTATAGATTATTTAAGTTTGGATTAGTTGATTACAAAATTTAATAGCGAAATTGGTCATTTTTTCTTATTCTGAAAACAAATTTTACAAATAACTTGATCATTTTTTAATTTTTTTTAGATGATGATAAATATATTTATATTACTATTTGAACAAAGTTTTTTTTCATTTCTGTATTGGATCTACAACTTTTTGCAATTAAACATATTTTACTTAAAAATAATTCAATTAGGTTTTATTTTATTTATTATTAAGATATTTCATTTTTTCTTTAATTTTAATCACTTTAGATGTAGGTTGTAATAGATTTATTGCGTTAAGAGAATATATTTAAAGGGCATAAAAGTAATTCATCATATCTGCAATATAAGATATCTTTCAACCAAATAAATTATGACACATTCTCATCAATCTAACATACCCAACAATCTGACATTCCCATGGTAATTTGACATTCCTTGAACCAAACATACCCTAAGGGAAAGAGAGAAGGGAGAGAGAACGGAGAGAGGGAGAAAAGGGAGGGGGGAATGTGATTTCTTTTTGCTTTTATACCATGTACAACTTGTGTACATGGTGTGTATACTAAGCATTTTCCTTATTGTATATGCCGGCCGAATTGTCTTAAACATTTTCTTTCGTGAAGAAAATCATTTTTTGCACCGATTATTTTTTGTCTGGGGAAATAATTGTCAGTGTGAAAAACGATTCTCTTCAGAAAATGAAACAAATTTGTCTGTGCGCAAACAATACGATCGATGTATAAGAGCATCTCCAATGCTGTAATGTGCACGGTACACATGTGGCATGAGAGATAGCCACATAAATAATGTTAGCAAATAAATTATATTTCTCCTTATTCAAATGATTTTATACAAATTCGGTAAGTTTTTCTCTGCAATGTCAACCACAATGTCAACATTTAGACGGTCTTCTTGACATTGTGGAGAAAAACTTACCAAAATTGTATAAAATAATTCAAATAAGGAGAGAGATAATTTATTTGGTAATACTTATGTGGCTATCTTTCATGACACATGTGCATCATGCACATTATCGCATTGGAGATGCTCTAAAATGACGTGTAAAAACAACAGTTCTCTTTGTGGAATTAAGGAGACCCATTTTAGTTGGAAATCCCACTGAATAGGATTCCATACTGGATTCCTTAAAAAATGTTAGCAAGCTTTTTCATTCATTACACACAAATTAGTATAGTGTGCCTACCCTCCGTTTAAAGGTTTAACATACTGAACTCACATCGCCATTTGTTATTTTCGAGCCGGATTGTGCATCATAAATTAGTTGGTTTTAGTTTGATTATTTTATGTGATTTTCGATCGGTTTCTGTCAAAAATTATGGATAAACCTTAAATCATACGGAGTATGTGAATCGAATTAGAGTCACGCTCAATTTCTTGAACATTGGGGTTGTCGTTTTACCCAAATTGCTGTTTAATTATACTCCGTATTTAAAACGGTGCATTTTGGAATGGAGGTATGGGTCAGATTGGTACTCGAAGTTGCAGAAAAATGGTCAATTAAGTCTTTATTGTCTGGCCGTCGCCATTTGAGGCGTTTCCCAGTGGAATTTTTTGATGAAATTTTCTGAGCATCTTATTCATTAAGTCTAGTTTACTCATACCAAATTTCAGCTAAAACTTCAATCGGGAAGGTATTCAAATGAATTCTTGAAGATAATTGCGCTTTTAACTGCGCAATTGTCTTCAAGAATTCATTTTAATGCCTTCCCGGTTGAATTTTTAACTGAAATTTGGTATGAGTAAACTAGACTTAATGAATAAGATGCTCAAAAAAATTCGTCAAAAAATTCCACTGGGAACCGCCCCAAATGGCGACGGCCGGACAGAGCCTCCTATATAAGGACTTATTCGACCCTTTTTATGCAACTTCGAGTACCAATCTGACCCTTACCTCTTTTGCAATGTGTTGGCGGGGCAGAAACACCGGAAACCGAATGAAGCCATGGTTATGAATCGCAACTTCAAATTCAAGAATTAGAAGAAGTCTATTATTGAAATAACTTAGCTTGTTAGTGACTCTAAGAATGGAACAAACAACCATCAAGTTCACACATTGCTCGGTTGTCCCCATAAAAGTATAGGACAAAATAAGTATAACTAAGTTTTAAAATAAAGAAGGAAATGTTGGAAAAATGTGTGAAAAATTGCATTAAATGTCTATTTTGGGGCAATTTTTGAGTGGGGTCCACTTCCGATTTGGGTCGGGTCAAAGTGGTTTCGGATTGTCCTTGTTAAGGGCTACAATTCGATATATGGTACGCTCAAAACGGATAACGGGTGAATGAGAAATCGCTTTTCGAAGTTTACCCGTTAGAATGGAAAAACTGGGAAAAAGGATGGGTTTCTAGTGTTAATTTCCCACACCGGAAAACCCAAGGGATTTGCAACCCTTTATAAAGGGACTACCCCCTTATGGAGTTAAGATTCCTAAGGGTAAAGGCTCTCTCCACGCGCGCAGGGGGGTGCAAATCAAATCCCGAATTCGGAGAAGAAAAATCGCGACTTGCGTGCGCGGGCGACCTGCTGACACGAATGTCGTCCAAAAATCTATCTCTCAAGAGATACGATTAATTTTTGTTTTCTTCCCGAAACGTTTAATTTTATTTTTTCCCAGCGGCAGAAGTGCTCGGACAGAAGCCTACGGATCAGAACACCTTGTTGGTGTTCTGATGGCAGAACCCCTCATAGGGGTATTCTGATGGCCGCCCATCAGAGTTGGGGGTACTCTGATGGCCGCGGATCAGAGTTGGGGTCTTCTGATTGGCCTCCGATCAGAACCCTCCCGGGGTGTTCTGGTGGAGGTCTTCTGTCGCACTTCTGAAACGTTACAACAATTAATGCCCAACGTTCTTATCTTTTAATGCAGCGTTAAATGGACAGTTCATGGACGATTCAATGCCCAACGGACTGGTCATTGATGTCCAACGTTCAGGTCCATTAATTCATCATTTACACACAACAAATCCTCCTATATAAAGGCTGGCAGGTGGTTTGCAACAACACACGATTTTACACGAATCCATACACGTTTTAGCTCTAAAAACACACTGCTAGCATTCTGAAAAATTCCTTCTGTGTTCAGCCTGTGTTCTCGTTCGCTGGAACTCTTGTTTGTGTGCTCAAACATTAGTTCGTAGTCATCGTATCCTGGGAAACGATTGTTGCAACGCTCCTAGCACTGTGGGAGGCAACAAATACGTTTTAAGGACATCGTGCGTAGCACGAGCTTTGACTAATTCTGCTTCATCTCCTTTCTTGTTTTTCTCTAGTCATTTTATTTAATTAATTTATTTTAATTAATTTTCTTTATTTTCCGAAACACACCCAACAGGAAAGAACATACATATGTACGTTTGGAGTTTCCTAGGACTGAATTCGAGTCAATTAGGAATCATAAAATGTTATCATGTGTATTCAAACAGCCATAAAACAATTTCCACCAAATTGTGTATCCTAATAGTGAAATAGCCAAAATCGTTAAGTAACGTGTTATGCGATGCACAGTAGTTAATATTGACGTTCAGGAATTATGTGCATCCTATTGAAGCATTCTTTTTATAATGAAGAGCTGATATGTAAAAACAGATGAACGTAGGGATGGGAATATGTCATATGACTTCCTATAAAAATGTCTCAGCCCCCCAAATTAAATGCTTCAACTTCGATATATGTTAAGACTCGGGGTTCCATCCTAAAAGGTCAACTTGATAGGAGAAGTAGCTCATGTGTTAATATAGCACTTTGTTCATCCAAATTTTTTCCGGTGTGGGACATTTAACAATATTTATAATTCGTTTGGTAACCACTATTTTCAGCTTATCAACTTTAAAACCAACCGTTCACTAAACATGTACGTAGTAATTATTTATTTCTCGTGTTGAATTATTGTGTAGTAATCAAAATAAACAAAATTGTAGTTACTATTCTAACTGAAGTTAGTGTAGTGATTGTGATTGTTGTTTTTCATCAAAAAATTTATTTTATCCATTACTTAAGAGATTCAGCAATTCCAGCAATTGCAAGAGGAATTTATCAATTCAAGCAGATTTAGTTGATTATTAAGCCAATTCCAGTGTTACAAGATGGGTGTTACAAGATGGGCTTGTAGTATATATATGATGAATCAATGGAAATGTTCAATAATTAATTTTGCATTATACTTCGTATTACTCCTTTCGTCCCTAAATAAACTTTCAACTTTTCTTTTTCGTCTGTCCCAATTAAAACTTCCGCTTTCCCTTTTTAGCAAAAAATTTGTGGTTCACAACATTTCTTACATTTCTTTCTTCTCTGCACAATTCTTCACCACACAATACTCACTATCTTAAACTGTGTGCCCAACACATTTGGAGATATATGTACGGAGTAGTTATCAACACAACTTTTTATTTATACAATCAAATCAAAGGTTCATCAAACAATAACATACGGGAAAAGAAAAGAAAAAGAAAAAAATAAAGCCCGCCCGCCCGCCCAATTATAATTACCGAATCACAACCATATATATACTGTCATCGATCGATCAGGCGTTGAATTAAAAGAGCATGAGAGACAAGGCTGCTGCTGCTGCTGCAATGATGGAAGAAGCACAGCCGGTGAGAATCAGCGATCCCCCGCCGTTGGTACTAGGAGAGTCTGGGGCAGCTGGCTCTGGAGCTGGGGTGAGGTCCACGGCGGCAGGGGGCGGAGAGGGAGGCGCCGCTTCAGCAGCCGGGGCAGTGGCTGGAGCGGAGGAGGAGGAGGGAGTCGGAGTGGGCGCGTTGGAGCGGCTCCGGCGGTCGGCCAAGACGACGATGACGACTTTCTGTTGAGTGGTATTGCAGTGGGATCCGCTGATGAAGTAGAAGTGGCCAGAGCGGTCGAATTGGACCTTAGTTTGCCCGGTTTCGTCGCTATATTTGTGCACCTCACCTGACGTGGTGCAATGCTCATAGTCTTCTTTTTTGGTTACCAGAAGCACGGAATCCTTATGTGCCTCGTACTTAAAAACTGCCGGCCAAAACATACATACAGTCTTAGATTTGAATGCCAAATTAATTAATTAATTAATTAGTAGGTAGGTGCGATGGATGGATACATACCAATGGTGTCATTGATTTGAAAGCGCCTTCCCTCAGCCCAGTGATTGTAAAAGGTTTCGTTGAAATTGAGGCTCCAATCTCCGGTCCCTCCGACCTTGAATTCAACAGCGTTGGCTTGGTCAAGCAGCAGGAGGGATGCCAAGACATGAAGGACCCAAGTATGTTGAGCCGCCATTAATTTATATATCTAGGCCGGGGCGGGATATATATATGTGCTCACCCCCAAATTTATTTGGATCTGCAAAATCAATCAATTAGATTAAATATATGGATCGCAGGGGAGATGATGATCGATCGGAATTTTGTTGATGATTGAGTCGTTGGTGGGTTAGGAGGAGGAGGGTATTTGTAGGCCGGGATATTTTTGGAGCTGTGACCAGCAAGTTTTTTTTCGCCGCCCACAAATACTTTGACACACTTCTTAAAACATCCATTCAACTTTGCCTCTCACTTTAATATAAGAAATAAATAAAGAAATGTAATTATTTTATTTAACATCTTTTAAGCTAGAGAGATAATCCCGAGGGTGTGTACAGTGGCGTATCCAGAAAATTTGGCGAGTGGGGGCAAACTTGACTACAGTTTAGTCTCATATTTCACAAATAACAAATCACATTTGATTAAATTTAGTTTATAATATCTATGTACAAGTATGAATGAAAAGAAGATTAATTTATATTACTGGTGTGTAAAGATGTAATTGCAGATAAAATGTAATAAATTTACTTAAATACTCCCTCCGTCCCAGGGAGAAGTTCCCACTTTCCTTTTTTGGTAGTCCCAACAAAAAGTTCCCATTTCCCTAAATGGAAAGTTATCCTACATCAAAACAGTGTCAAACAGTGCAAAACAGTGCCAAACAGTGTCAAAACAGTGCCAAACAGTGTCGAAACAGTGCCAAACAGTAAAATTTACCCCTCAGTAACTTTATTTCCTAAATATGTGTGAAAGTCAACCCGGGAACTTCTCCCTGGGACGGAGGGAGTATAAGTTAAACAGTCTTAAACATAACAAAATTTAGTGAAATTTTTAGCCTTTCATTCTTTTAATATTAAAGAAAACATTTCTAATCCTATTTAAGAATTTTTTTCTACATTTAACTCTTAATTTGAGCATTTTCTTGTAAAAATTTGGACATATATATAGGGGTTGGGTTGGGGTTGAGTGGGGGCAGCTGCCCCCGCTGCCCCCATAGTGGATACGCCACTGGGTGTGTATCAACTAGAAGACGCAAACCCTAGCCTCCGTCTCCCGGATCTCTAAAGATCATCTCCAATGGAGTCAAGTGCACCATAGTTATTTGAGTCTATAAACGCGGACGTCTCCCTCTCCGTAGGGTTTGGGCATCGAGATCGAAGGACGACGATTGCAGATGGAGATGTCTGACGTCGGTAAGCACGGGATTGACGAGTGCAGGGTGCGGATAACGTGGAGAAACTGATCGGTCTCTCCCTGTTAGGGTCTAGAGCTTTTCCACATCGCTTTTTTCGGCGAAGGGAGGCTATGACGATGGGCAAATTCCAAAGCAGATCAGTGGTGAACAAAAGGACAAGAACGAATTGGCGATTGATGATGCTGAAGAAGAGGCGGTCGAGTCGGAGGAAAATCGCTTTGGTGCAACAACAATCGTTGCGAGGGTCCGGCCTCCTCCAGAACCACCGCCAAGGGTTGATCGACGCGTTTTGGAGTTTGCTTATTTATCTTTTCTGCATTTTAATTTCCAAGTTAAGACGTTTGTGTTTTGTTGTTATTTTATTTTATGCTATAAAACTCTTGCATTAGATTTGAGGGATGAGAGGTCTACGGTAATCATCGTTGGCTTTATATTGCCCAAGTTAGGTCTAGCAAGTTATATTGTTTTGTCAAAGGTGATTAACTCAGTGTCTCGACCAAGGGCGGATGGTTACATGTGGTCCTTTTGTTATCTTTCACCCCAGCTGCATGTTGGTAATTACGCGTCAGGGGCCCAAGGCAGCTACGACGTACGTCTTCGCCCCAGGCCCTCAGTTCAAGGAGTCCTAGCCCAAGGTTAGCCAGTATAATCCTACACCAGCAGCCAGAAGACGCACGGCCTCCCACCCTTGGTGGCATATCAAGGATAGACCCAAGACCCACAGGGATGCTCGTCCCCAACGGCTGGGCGGGAAACCAAGATTCTGACGGGAAACACATTTAATGCTGGAGAGTTGGTGGTTGGGACCCCAGCCATCCACAGCTCTCCACGTCAGCATATTCAACTGGCCCTTGGTAGTATAAATAGTATCATTTATTTCATTGTAAATGGTTGACAACTTACCCGCCTTAGCATTCAAGCATTCTTATAGCTTATAGCATTGTTCGCAACTCTTCTACTTGAGTGTTAGACGAACGGCCATCGGACAGTAGCATTAGTGCAGTGTAATGAGACCTTATTATCACTTAATAATAATCGGCCCACTATTGCATACATCTCCAAGCTCATCTTACTTGCTATTTCCTCATATATATTCACATACACCATTCACTCGAAATCCAAAGGCTTACGTGTTGGGCCTACGGGTTGAAGGAATAAACCTCAACGAACTCATTTCTATTTTTTTTATACGGAGAATGTTCTTGCGTTTCAAAAAAATACTTTCGATGACAATTTGAATGTATTTACCGTTTTTAACTATTCAAGCTTATTTTAATATTATCATTTGAGGATTACCTAAAAAAAAAAAATATTAGAGGATTAGCTTTAGCATGCTCCGTAATTATTTTGTTCAAAAAAAAAATTCATGCTCCGTAATTCTGTGTCAAACTTTATACTAAGTACGGAGTATATCATAACTGCAAAATCAATTTATGACACTATAAAAAGGGAATTTAAAATTCAGGACTCGAAAGATAGATGAATTATCTATCCAAAACCTGAAAAATGAAATATATCGATATAGGACTCAGATGATGGAAAAATATCAATTTAGGACCTGAATGATTGAAAATTATCATTCTAGGACCTAAGTTGTCATGGATGTTATTACTTTTTTAACTTAAAAAAAATAAATTTAATTTAATTTTATTAAACTAATAAATTTTTGTGAGGAAAAGTTTATCAAGACCTATGAAATGTTAGCAGGGACGGAGCCAAGGGGGGGTCAGGATGGTCAGCCGACCCCGCTGAAAGTTCAAGAACATAGAGCTCTGAAATACCTTCGATTTGATATATATATTATGGGTCCCGTAACACATCACGGGTAAAAAGTTACGACTTTTGGAAAATCATCACCATCTTAACTTAAAACAAGCAAAATTTGATGTGTGACGTTCATTATATTCTTAAATTTAAAAATAAAACACCTTATTCAGTCATTAGTTGTGTAAACATTATGATACATTACATATATATATATATCAATACATTAATTGAAAAATGTTCATTAAACTACCAGTTATCTCAGCTACATATGAAACATTTAACTCAAATATTGTATAATAACTATCTATCATTTTGATACTGTATAATATTAAATTTCGACCCCCCTCACACACTTTTCTGGCTCCGCCCCTGAATGTTAGGTCCTAGATTGATAATTTTCCATCATCCGGGTCCTATACAGATACATTTCATCTTTCGGACCCTGGATTGATAATTTATCTATCTTTCGGGTCCTGAATTGATAAAATTCATATAAAAAAGCGAGATTGACATGGATTTGACACATTGATCGATGATTTCGTGTCAAATAACTCGTGATAAAATGTTGTTGACACGGATTTGCCATATCCGTGTCAATCTTCTACAATTTTTGCAAATCTCTACTGACAATCTATGTTAAATTCGGCTATATTAACTTTTTATTATAGTGTCACTGTGGGGCTGACATGCTTAGTAAAAATGTGCATTACTTTTAAATTTATAGATAAGTGGTCACTACTCACTAATACATTTATGGATGCACGTATACATAATACTTTTATGTTTTTATCCAAAACAATATGGCTCATTTACTCCTAGCAAAAGATATGTTAAACTTCTTATTTTTACAAGTGAATGAGTTCTACTTTTGAGGGAAAAACAGCTGTTTTATTTGAGAAAATGAGTTGTGTAGAATGTTTTCTAGTATAACATACGAAGTACTTTGCTTTTGACTATTTACATAATATTAAATGATGTTGGAAACGCTCATATATAATATTGTACTACGTCATTCATACAATGTGTTAATGGTACGTATTTATTTGGATATCCAAGGTAAATGCAGAAATATCAGTATATTTTTTTTTTAATTTTTTTTTATTATAATAATATTGTGTAAGTCTTGATTATACATCATCAAGCTTATCTTCTTATAAATTATAGATCTCGTTGAATCAATTTTTAACTTATCAGCCAATTTACGGAGCTTCTCTCTAGAGCTCTCGGCCTAGGTTACCCGCCGCCATAGATTCTGTCGATTGGGGTGTGGATTTTTGAGTTTCGTCGAAACCCTCTAGGGTATATCGACGGTTCGTCTTGTGATTGGAAGGAAGTTATTTTTTTGATTTGGAAGGCTTTTGCTTCGGCGATCGGTTGAAGCTCGGACGAGGCAGGGCTGGGTTTTGGCAGTTGCTTTCCTCGGCGTCAAGTAGGCAGAAGCATATATCTAGTAGGCTGCTGACGGATCAGAGCGATGGAAGGTGTATTGGACAAGTATAAGCAGATGGGTATTGGAACGGAAGAGGAAGTTTTGGACCTGGATGGAGGTGATGAGGAAGAAATTCTGGTGGAGGAGCAAAGACCGGGATTTCCGGTGGTTGGGGTGTTGCTTACAGACAGACAGGTAAAGTTTTCATCCCTCAAGGCACTCATGATGTCACTTTGGCGGCCAGGGAAGGGGATGTCGTTCAAAGATTTGGGTGAAAAAAGGTATCTCTTTACTTTTAATCATCGTTTTGATATGAATCGTGTTATTGAAGGGGGTCCATGGCAGTTTGAACGAAATTTGCTGTTGTTAAGAGAATTAAAGTCGGATGATGTCCCACATAAGATTATCATTAATGAGACTGAGTTCTGGATTCAGGTTCATAATGTTCCTTATAGTCTAGTCAACTTAGGGACGGCAAGAAAACTTGGTAATTTTATTGGCAAATTTATAAATTATGATGACCCACACGAGTAAGGACAGGGAGAAACTCAAGCCTTATATGAGGGTTAGGGGTGCTTGAACGTGGAAAAGCCTCTAAAAAAGGGTGCGAATTTGAAAAAAGAAGGGTAGAATTGTTGGCTAGATTTCAAATATGAAAAACTTCCCAATTTCTGTTTTATTTGTGGACTCATCGGACATTCAGATAAATTTTGTCCCCTAAACTATGAAGAAGGAATTGTGTTGGAAAATCGTTTTGGAATCCAGATTAGGGAAGGAATGGGGGTGAAGACCAGCCCTGCAGAAGGAACCACATGGGAATGGGAGGTTTCAACGAGC